GGCTTTCTGCCAATTGCATTGGTATCCATGCATCAGCATGGACCTGATTCTCACACGTTTCACGTGTGCACCCAAGGCACTATTCCCCAATGCACTTAAAGAAAGCTGAAGACGACACTATAAGGGGAAGGAGCGGAAGCTGCCAAAGCAGGCGCGGGACTGCAACTTGATGACAAGTGAAACCAAATTCACGGATGAACGGATCTGCGAAGCCTTCTCTAGATGTACCGTCTGTCCAATTGGATTTTGATTGAACCCATTCGAACCACATGCTGCAATGGAGGCTGAACAACAACATGTGAATCATCTGTGCCAGCCGATCCAGGTCCGGCGAATCAGATCGGCCTCTCACCAAGGACATCAATGATGCGATGTTATCATCCACCATACACATGTGTTGCGCTTAAAGGAGTCTGGAAAACTTATCAAGGCTTGGAAAACCATCAACAACTCTAGTTGCGCAATGACAAAATCCTTTGCTTGCCATAACTGAAGTACCTCAGCATCGATCTTCACTACAGCTCCTCTGCGACAAAAGAAAGTATCGCTGAACAAGAACCCACCTGACCCTTGGCTCATTCATCTCATGGGCTGCATCAGAGGCTGCAATCACGCGTGGCTCTGAAGAGGGAAAAAGGGAGACTGTCCTCCTGGGTCGCAACGGCAAGATGGTTTCGATAACGTCGAACGCTACCTCAAGGTGGGTTGTCAGCTCTACAGAGGTGTCGAGGTGTCGCCGATCTTTGATGGCATTCAGCCCTGCTCGGGCCACCTTGCCAAAGGCAGCCTGATCCAGGAATGTCACACAGCCGAACAGCTTTGCCGCTGTACCTGGGTGAAGCAGGCGATCTCGACGTGCCGTTCGGATGAAATCCTGAATCTTATCTTGCAGCCTAGATCTAATCCAAAGCTGGATCCGGCCAACTGAATGGGCTGTCGACAAGTCGTGGATCATCCCCAGGAAATCCCCTTGGAAAGAGGGGGCTTGCCTCTTGTCGGCTGCAAAGGGAAAACCTAGGTGTTCCAACGCCTGCCCCATGACATGCTGTGCATGAACGGCTGTGGGCTCCCAGTCCTGCAGCGTAGAGTTATCGTAGTAAAAGCTGGCCATCAGTCCTAGCATGCGACGCAACAATGCTTGACAAAAGAATGGCAGTCTATTAAAGGCTGTGACTGCTAGAGGTAGCCCGAAGAGCATCGAGTGGTACTGGCGGAAGACCGGTCGACCTTGGGCAGATTGATACACTACGACGCAGGCACGGCTGTGCTCTTCCAACATGGGAATTTTGCGGTATGCATCTGGGAGATCTTTTTGACAGGAAACCGCTGGCAGTGGCAACTTCTCCATGCCTTGATAAGCACAGGCTTGTGCCAAGGCTTGAATGTGTGCGCAAGGCTGCAAGGCACTGCAAAACTGAAGCCGGTTAGCGCGACTCCAAAAACTCTGCCCCCCACTTGCTGCGTCATCAATGACTCGCTTCTTACCAGAAGCTTGCGTGATGACGAATCGCCGCAGCAGCCTGTACTCGGGAAAACGCCTTTGCAGTTCCTCCCAGCCAAACTCCTCAGTACACCAGTTGTTGCGCTCATCTTTGAGTCCAGATCGTGGACTACCTCCAACTCCTTGTCGGACAACCCGGCGATGAGAGCTGGGGCTTCTGAAGGACCCTCGCACAGCACATCCTGCAAAGATGCAAACTCAGCAGCTTGGGATGCCCAAATGCCACAAGGTGGGAGATAGCCAACTGCTGGGAACCCGCTGTGCAATCCGGCACAAAACGATGTGTCCGGCCACTGCATCATGGCGATGAGAAGCGCAATAACAGCGAAGTGTACTTTGGGATTCACAGCCGCTAGAACTGAAGTCTGACTGGCGCGAATGTAACGTGTGACTCCTTCCAAGCGAGCACAAAGTCCTAGAAAACAATCCAGAGCGTATTGCCGAAAACCGGTAACTTCTTGCCCGAGATCAGCCATCAGGTTGGCTACGTAAGCGATGTCCACATCGACTGGCGATGGAAAGTCCAAGGGCCCTCCCTCGATCTGCACCCGCAGCGCTGCTGCAAAGTGATCCTCAGGCGTCAGATTGTAGGGGACAACTGGCGGTGCTGCTGTCCGCCTTGCCCCTGCTCCTGCTTGCTCAGCCATGCCTGCTCGGAAGGCAACCACACCTGCGGTGGGGAGCATTGTGGGGCCAATGGGACCGTCGGCGGCATAGTTACCTTCATGAGCCCATTGGTGGAAGGAAAGAAAGGCTGGACAGTTAGTTCATCAGGTCCTCTAACAATGGCCATTTGACTCCTTGGAAATCCAACATAGGGAACTGACTCTTGAGACATGGCAGACGCTTGACTGAAAGCTTGGGGAACCGCTCGCACCAGTCGGATCCCTGCTAGCATAATCGCTCTAGAGGGACCTGCGTGACTCCCGTGGCCGTTGCGGCCGATCGAACCACTTCGCAATGATAACATCCACGTGACAAAATGAGTTGGCTGAACAGTCACAGACTATGGTCTTGCCAGTGAGCTCATCAAGCGCTCCGTCAAGCTGCAACCTATCCCAATTCATAATGTACTTGAATATGGTGTCAACATGAGTCCCATCTCGCCCTTCCACAAATGGGTTCTTCCACAGTAGGACTGAGCCGGTGACGAAAGTGCCAGTGGCCAGCGTATACCGCTCCTGACTGGTGCCCGGTGTTCTGCTCGAAGAAGTCGGAGACATGACCTCGCACTGGCATACCGGGGGCACTAGATGGTTTGAGTCCTAGCGAGATGGCCATCGGGACCATGGCGTCCTGCCGAAAGGTGGAGGCCCCCCAGGCCGTCCAATGCCTACGATCACCTGAGCATTCAACAGGGGGCAAACGGGGGATCTTGACGATTGCATATCCTTGGTTGGCTGCCCAAAATGTGCATGCAACAGCGAGGGTGAAAACGAGGGCAGCAGGATACTCTGCCTCTTCGGCGCTGGGGTACTTATAGTCCTTCCCTCCAAACTGTATGGTCGCCAATCGTCTTCGTTGTGCGTGTGGGCGCACACCAAACTGGGTAATGACCTCAGCTCGGGAATGTTGTGACGAATGGTTGGGCTTTCTTCCTGGCAGCTAGAAAGCAACAGTTATCGTAAAAATCGGACCAACATCCATCTTGGTGCATATGAACTTCCACTGGGTCAACCCGTGAAGACTCCTCCTGGGATTCTCCCGAAAAGTTCTCCCCGCTCATGCAGGTTGATCACATGTTGGTCCACCCGGTCCTTGCTGGCACCTGTCAAGGTGGGTAGTCCCCGAGGAAACTTCTCGGTCGCAAAGGCTTCGGAGCGTTCGTTCCTGGCAGCTTGATTTCACGAATTTGACTCTTGGTGGAAAAATCGATGGCAGCACTCACAAGGTGGCACTGAGGCAGTACTGCATTGATGGCTTTCTGTACAGAAGGCTTGACTAAATCAAATTCACGGTCAATGAGAATGTCGATGGGTTGAACAATTTTCCAACCAGCCCACTCAAACGCCTGCGCTAACGGGAAATGCGGTCCGGACAGCAAATCCAAAAAGACAGGGACCTGGGGCTGATCATCATCCATTGTCTCAACCTGAGACCATCCATTCTGGATAGCGGCAACATGCTGATGGAATTCTTCCAAAGCGCCTGAGGTGCTGGAAGGGTCCGGATTCTCCGGTTGTGAAACTATAGTTTCCCCCCCTCAGAGCTTCTGCTTGTTGTTGCACCTGCTCCCTTGGTGATACGGATCACCGCAGATGCGCCCGCTCTTCAGCTAGTGTGCACAACGGTGCTCACCATTCGGGCACCGAGCATCACGTTGCCGATCACAGCGCCCATGCTGCCACGGACCACATAGCCGCGTTCCATCGCGGAAAGTGGTCGAAGTCTTCCTGTCCCCTCCTTGGGCAGCTGGCGGAGTGCCTGCCGGCTCAGGCGGCGGCCACTGGCCGATGATCCCTGAGGGTAAATGGTCACCGCTGACCAACGCACATCCCTCTCCATGGAGATGCGATAAACAATCGCTCCAAGCTTCTCCGTGCCGGTGGAATACTTTTGGCGCCAAGCAGCTCACCAATCTTCTTGCTGGCCTCCACGGCCCGAAAATGGTACTTCCAGGCCAGGTCCAATGGGAACTCAACATATAATCGTGAGAAAGAGTGGCGAGCGACTCTGCCTCGGTCGGCGCTGGGAGAATGGGGCCGGCCCCTGCCATCGCCAACGCGACCATGTAGACGAACAGGCACCAGGTAGGATGCACAATCCTCCTGCACAGCCTGCTCCTCGTCGGCGGCTTCACCATGGGCGCAACCGTCCGTCGCTTGGAGGTAGCGACTCGCTGATTGGCCAAGGTCCGTACCTGGAACATGTTCATCACCTCCAGGTTCTTCTTCTGCAGCGCTCGGCCCAACTTGCTCAGCAAAGCTTGTCACTAGGCTGCTGTTCGGGAGGCGGCAACCAATGGTAACGCTTCCAAAACACCTCCTTCATGGAGGAAAGGGCGCTGGCTGGAAGACACTCATCCTCCTCAAGTGGAACACCCTCCACTTGGCTCGCATCACGAGCCTTCTCGGCCTGCACAATCGATGACCAGGCGCGCTTCACACGCGCAGCTTGCAGCCGCGGCTTGTCCAGCCCGGTAATCGGGGTGACGGAAGTCTTCACAACATCTTCTTCATTGGAACAGTAAAGGCGAAACTCGGAAAGTGACATCACACCGGACTCAAGAATCTCCTTTGCGATGGCTTCATCGTAGTCGAACCTATCCTGGAGCTCCTTGAAAACAGCTTCAGGAGTCGACATGGCTGGCGCTAAAAGCAATTGGGACACTGCAGATAGCTTGACACAAAGAAGGCTGAAAAACAAGGAGAGCAGCTCAACTGAATCAAAAACCGAAAAGTTGACATCCATTACAAACTGACATCTCTCAGGACTTTCAATCTGTGAATGGCATTCAGCCAACGCCGCGGACCCTTCCGGCCTGATGTGGCTTCTCCACCAGACTTTTCATACTCCTGGCGAAACTCACCAAGGGCGGTCCCAGTATCCCAGGACCTCAGGGGCCTCATACCCTGTGAACTGCCCCTGCACTATGCCGGAATCTACCCTACCTATAGGTACTCAGCCAGTTCATCGAGCAGCTCGACTTCCGGTAGTGCGGCAAAAAGGCTACCGCAAGCCTCCACGGCGCCCCCCCAGCGCTGCTTGAAATTGCAACCCTGACATCGCGTCCAGGTTCAAGGCCCAAGCAACCAAGTACTGCTGGCAGTTGGCTGCCTCACGTTGGCAGTTGGTGACCTCCACCAACAAAGCACCGGGGTCAGGAAGCGGGGGTGGCGCATCGTGAACCAAATGCCGCCCAACTGAGAACCCATTCAGCATCTCCCACATGATACCCTTCAGCTCGGAAAGGAAAACCATCCACGAAGGTCCCAACCGGTGGACTTCAACTGGAAACGAATCGACAAACTCGTGCAGTAGGCTGATCTGGCCAAACATAATCCACAAGGGTGGGGGAAAAGGTGCTTCACGAATGGGGTACTGCAGCAACAGCAGCCGCTGGATCGACATGGCAGTAGGGCTGGCCATCTTGAACGCTGAAAGCTAAACACAGATGCTCTCAGACAAGACAACATAACGGCCACAGCGGGGGTCTCACGGTCCGGACATCAGAACTCGCACCTATTTTCCTCGGGCGACGGGACGGTCAGCGGGGCGTGCGCCAGGCGACAGCTGACTCTTCCAAAATACCGAGTGCTCCTGCTGGCATGAATTGTGCGCAATTGCGGCAAAAGGACCTCTCGTGCACTAATGCCTCTTGCACAGAGTCCGCAAAGCAGACATTGCTCTTAAAGAATGTCTCCCGTTTCTTCCACTGACAAACGGGCTTGGGCGTATCTGAGTTGAAATCGACGGGCACCACGCGCCACAAGGACGTCGGCCTCAGCTGAAATGAACCTCAGCGGAATCTCCGCGAAGTTCTCGGGCAAGGTCTCACCTTCGGCACGATCATGCACCCACTTGGTGAACTTCCTGTAGCGATCGCCCAACATCTTGTGGGGCTCAATGGCCCTGACGGAAGCCAAATGCTTCATGGACTCATCCAACAACTGCCCCTTCAGGGCGCTGAGGATCATCCCTGTTCCCACCGGTGCTCGGTGTACACCGGCCATACAATGGATGTAGATTGAACCTCCATGTTCCAGGGTTGGCCTCACCAGTGGCTTGAGCTGAGTCCACTGCTGGTTGTGAATCCTCTCATCGGACACAGCAAACTGGCGAATCAAGCAGCCAGAGGGAAACTTTGCCCCTTTCGTCACTGCTGCCTGTTTGAAGCAGGTGACAACCAACTGAACATTATGGTTCTTCAACACCTCACATGCTGCATCATCCGGGATTCCCCCAAGCAGAATAAAGGGGCCGCTCCCAGACCCGTTGCGCCGGTAGACCACAGTCGGTGGCTCAGGGCAATCTCGATGGTCAGGCCTCCTCCATCTTTTGGCAGCGAGTTCATCGAACGCATCGTCGCCTGGCTCCAGCACCGGCTCCTCGACTGGGAGGAATGGAAGCTCTTCTGCCTCCTCTTCAGCGACATCCATGTCGTCAGGCGGTGGACTCCCCACAGCGACACCGGCGCTTTCTGCGTCAGCGGGCGGGTTCTCCACAGCCTGGACTTCTCGCTGTTTCTTCGACAGCTGCTGCATGGCCTTGAAGCCTCGACCTCGAATCGCGAAAAATCTTTGCGTCAACGAATTCGCCTTCTGAAAGTGAATCTCATCCGCCTGCGAGGCTGTGAAAAAGACTACCTCCTTTACCTGCAGGACAGTGGAAGGTCATCCCACTTGAGAACCTTCTCGGACAGCTGGGTGAGGGACACCATGGCAAACATGAAAGCATGCTTTGCCTGCAGCGCCAAGAACTACTGCTTGGCTCCAGTGTAGCGCAACGGCATGTGGCTGTGTTGGGCATCAGCCGGCTTGTCCACCCCACAGTAGTGGCTGGGGGAACCTCAGCCAACATGGCCCTGGAGAGCTCATCATCAGGGACCACCCCCCCGAATCGCCAGGCGCACCGTGTTCAAAATGGACTTCGCGCGCAGGTACACAACACATCGCTGCCCACAGGAATCCATGCCGCTGCCCCTTCTGTTTGCCTCTCGGGCACAAAAAGTAAACAGAGTGGCGGTTTTGATTCAGCACTTTCGAGCGTTGCAAATGCTCGAGCCGAAGGCAGCCAAAGACCTGAAGATAGGTCACCACCAGGGCCGGCGCAGCTGCAGTGTCGTTCTGAGTGGCATGTGCAACTGCTTCCAATAGGGCCCACAGCATAGCTGGCTCAGCAGTGGGCGCTTGCCTAGCACCAACACCATGTCTCCCCTTCGCCACCGTGGAGCGCCCCACGCACAGCGAAAGGTCCCATGGCAGTTGTTGCGCATCCATTGCATGGCTGGGAGGACACGGGAAGGAGCTTTCGACTCCTGGTAAAATCGGCTCAGCTGGCTGGCGGAAACATACCGCATGTTGTTGATACCGGGGGATTCGCCCCAGTTGGCCAACTCGGCCCAGGTAGCCACCACTCGTTTCAGAGTGGGAACCTCAGTCTGTTCCAACAACGACGTAAGCATGGGCTGCATGGCCTGATAACATCATCTTGCGTCTCAGCTTGAACCAACTGGCATTCACCGCAATCTCCTGTAACGACTGGCGGAACGGCTCCTTCGGAGATGGTGGTTTCTCCACCTGCCGCACAACACGCGGTGCTGAACTCGGCTTCACCTTAATAGATGGCGCAGGTTGCCGAACCTGAGGGGCCGGCGGGCTTGGCTTCTCCTCGCGAGCCAACATGGCTTGGACCACCTTGTCCACTCCGCCATGGGCCTGCTGCAGAGCATGTTGCCATGCAGTGGCAATGAGGTCACCCACCTCCTGCTTGGCCTCTTCTTCAAACGAACTGAAGAAAAAGACAAAATCACCATCATCATTGACTCCATTTATCTCACGCCAAACCTGCACCACTGGAAGGTCATCCATGATCAAATCACAAAAGCTGAGCAGAGAGGTTCTCTCTTAGAGTTTCACTCCACAAAGCTATTTTGGCTAAAGCTAGCCTTGAGCCAAAATGTAACCATTACCATGTGCTGCATGAATAGCCTACACCAAGCCTGCCCCAAGCACTATAGGCACCTATATATATTTCTGGAAATTTATATGCATGCTACTGCAGCACCCTCAAATGTCCAACAGTGCAAGAACGAAACCCTATGAAACCTATCCTGATTGCGGACACAACTTTGTAGAGAAAACCAACAACCAGTTGAAAGTCCTGCAAGGATTACAAAGAGTCGCAAAGAAGAAGTGGCCCTCATTTGGGCCATTCCTGGACACAGTCCGAGCAATCCTGGCCAATTTTTTGCACAGCCTTCCTCAAGAAGAGATTCACTTACTTTGGAGACCAGATTCGCAGATCCAAGTTATTTAGTGCGCCCAATGTATGCAAGGACAGACCTTCTAGACTCTATACCTTCTTGGCCAGGCTCTCAATCCAGGCCGACATCCTATTGGAAGGACGTAGCCTCACTTGCGCACGCAGGATTCGCTCAGCTGCGCACGCAGCATTTCATGATACATTTAACGCACCTGCGCACACAGGGTTCGCTCAGCTGCGCACACATCGATTACATTCTTCTTTAAACAGTGCACGTTACCTCAAACTCAGCTGCGCACACAGATTTCGCTCACCTGCGCACACACAAATTGAGTTGCTGTGATGTGTACACGATATGTCATTCTTTCATGATATGTCGTTGGGTCAGGTCTCCACCGACACGCTCGTGTCAACAACGCCCCTCTGGACATTCATCTACATGATGATCTCTTTCTGCTCATTGCTTCGACAGTACCAGCCCCGCTAATTTTATCGTAAGCATCTTTTACCAACCTTTTGTCAATTTGGTCTAACCATGTCTGCGTCCAAAAGTTTCCAGGTGGCAAGTCTGGAGGGCTGTTGGCTAACGATGAAACAAAAACACTGCCTGCTGCGCCTGCGCTCCCCAAGGTATGGCACTCATGCAGCCACCACGACTGAAGACCCCGTCGGGGCCACAGCCTGACAAGGGACACAGAAACAGAATTCTAGGGTTGAACGCTGTACGCTGCTGGGACACGCATATTTGCCTTTGCGGAGTGGAAGCGTCATTGACAGCGGCATTAGCCCAATCGGTGAATGAAAGACGCGCAAAACTGCGACAATTCTACTGGTTCATAGAACAGCCCATCTGCATCTTGATAATATGCTGGACCGACTCTGGACAGCTACATCACCCCGTTTGCACCATGCCTTGACAGCCAAAAGCACCCGCGGCTTGCGCTTGAGCCGCTGCCTGGACCTGCGCAACCTGGGCAGCCTGGGCAGCTTGGGCCATGGCCAATGGCAAAGCCTGTTGCTGCCACGCCTGGGCTGCCTGGGCAGCCTGGGCGCATGAGAATTCGAGGACAAAGTGTTCACGTCCAGGCTGGTGAAACATGAGGTTTGACCAATATGAAGGTAAGGAAGAAGAGGATTAAAATAAGTCAGTGATTTATATAGGAGGAGTAAAGTAAAGTTGAGAATGAAGATGACGAGGAGTAGGATGGATACGAGTTGTCGTATCTTTTTTGCGCAGTCCAGGGCCCAATTTCATGTTTGTCAAGGCTCCACCATCAGCCCATGTCCAGGAAGCTGCCGCATGATCTCGGCTTGAAGCCTTGCAGATTCGGCTGCGGCCTGAAGTGAAGAAGTGCCCCCAACAACGGCAACCAAGGCAACCTTGAGAATGTTAACAGGCGCGGCTACTGTGGAATATTTCCACCAAATACAAAACATATTTGCTATAGCTCGACATGAAGAATCTGCAAAAACGTTTTGTAGGCCAAAACCTTTGTAGATTTGTCCCCGCATCTCTACGTGGGGTTCTTACTTTTAACTCCGCCCATACCTCGGCTCACTCACTCACTAACTCGTTCACTCGCTCGCTCCCTCACTCCCTCCCTCGCTCACTCCTTCCCGCGGTCCCTCCCTCGTAAACCATTCTCCGGGCTCCAGAAGTATGGTGGTGAGGGGCTGTAATGGTTGCAATTGTTATGGTGATTTTCTCCTTGTATTGTCAGCGCTGTGGTTTTATTTTTTCTTTTGTCCGTGTTGGTTCAAAGCAGCGGCTCAGCGGATGATGGGAAAGGTTGCCCTTATATGCTTTGCGGCGGTGGGAAGTTCTATGGGCCTGCCATGGCTGCGACTGTTGTAGTTATAGTTGTCTTCTCCTTGTTTGTCATTGCGCGTTGTTACCTGGTGGAAAGTTGCGTGAGATTGCAACGGCTATGATTGTAAAAAAATCTGTTCTCCTTGTATGCTGTTCGGGGCTGTTCTAACTTTTCTTTTGTTCGTTGATGCCCCTGCGCGCGCGCCATAAGTTCTGGCGTGCGCTGCAGCATAAAGGCTAATATGTGGTTTTGGGCGGCTACTCCCATCAAATCTGGCACGCGTTCTTACGGGATTGTTGCGGTCAAAGGTTGTACTATCTGTGTAGAGCACCTTACTGATGGTCAGATGGTTTCCAAGTTTTGCATGTATAAATGTATGGTATCCAAGCAAGGATCTTTTCCAAACAAATATATCTACACTTACACCGTCTATACCCTAGAAGTCACGGGATCCACGGGGCCGACACAACGTGGACTGAACTTCCGAACTTCCCGGTCTCCATCAACACGGGCCCCACGGGCTCCATGGGCCCCACGCACCCCACGCGACGGGCTCGACTGGCTCCACAGGCCCTGGGCTCCACAGGCCCGCGCCCCACCCCACGCGCCCCACACGGCTGCATTTCACCCTATACTAACGCCCCCGCATAATCCACGGGCAACAGGCCACATCATTTCGCCAGCCTCTTCACCCCACCATACCCGCACCTCCACAGTTTGAGCGCCAACACCAGTAATGGCTTCTACAGCAAGTGAGACCTGCTCGGCCTTGACCTCACCAGCAATGGCACGCAGCAGCAGCAGCAGCAGCAGCTCAGGGTCAAAGGCTGCAGCAAGATCATGCATGGGTAGCAATTCAAACGGATTCCAACGGCTCCAGAAAATTCAACAATTCCAGTTGCCAGGTGCCCAGCAAGCTCAAGCCGTCCAGCAAGCTCAAACCCAACCAGTCCAAGCACCAAGCTCTTCGCAACAAGGTGCACTACAGGAACTACAGGGCTACGTAGATATAATAAAAGGACACATGTACACTCAGGAGGCTGCTGCGCTGAGGACGTTGGGGGGCACCAGGGCGTGCATAAATGTATGTTGCGGGTATTCTGAAGAAAGATGCACAAGCAAAACGTGGAGCGCAACACAACCAGCACCATTACCCTCCATTGCTTCCCGGACTTGAAAACCAAAGCAAATGACTTCACCACTGCTCCACCAACCAGCCTTTGCAGCTTCTGCTTCACGTTGCGCCTTGTCCTGACGCCAAAGCTGGCAAAGCTTGCCCCGGCAATGCAGAACCATCATGAGTCATGAGCGACAAAACTTGTCACAGGTCTACCCCTCACCAACCTCTAATTACTTCATGTCTTTCGTGTTCCCTTGCCAGGCAACCTGTTGCTTTTTACGTTTTATGTGTATACGTGTACATGTATAATATGTGTATATGCATATATGTACAGTTGTATGTGTATATGTACTGTGTGTACAGTATATATACACATATATATATACACAACATATATACATATGTTGGCGGTCAGGCTTGGGTCTGGGTAACCCTTCACCACCTGCTGGTAGCTAGGCGATGTTGGGCCGTGATCTTTGGAGCTGCTTGAGACAGGCCCCGGAGGGAGACCGATTCGTCTTGCTGAAAGACTCCTTTGAGGTGGAGGCGCCATTCATGTTGCTTGCAACGGCGCGACATGTAGATGCAGGCGATCGGCCTACAACTGCCAAGATACGCATCTGTCTTGTTCTTGAGCAAAAGTACAGGTGAGCCAGTGGACATGTACAAGCGCCAAACTGTAAACCCACACGCCCCGCTGAGCGAATGCCCAAGAGGAGCGAAACTACGCACGTTGCGCGCGTGAATGAGGGAAGTTGTGGAGTAAGACAACCGGTCCCCCGGCGCGATCGAAAACAACCACCGCATACGCGCCGCCTTGACATACAGGGCGCATAGACCTCAAGGGACAATGAAATGCGATCGTTTCACAACATGTCTGGTTCACGTTGACTCTAACACGCAACCAAATTATACGCGAAGCTGCGATTCATTTAATGCAAAGGAACACAGTTGAATGCAATGGCACACCCTTGAGAAACCTTGAGGGAATGAATTGGAACCTCTACACACGTGGCGTGACTCGGCATGACAAAGTCGCAAACGATCGTACGCTACGCACGAGCGCAGAAGTACTTTGACCAAAAACAAATGACATTAAAATATGGAAGGTCGCAAGGCCGCGGGCGGTGCGATGGTAAGCTTTCTCCACACAGGCCGCATAGGTTGAGAGCAAAAGCCGGCGCTCGCGTTGGTTTTTTGCTCCACAGGCAGCGGCTACTGCCGCGCGAAGGATCTCACCACAATTGCGAGAATTGGGTGAATCGGAGTTGTCGCCACCATTGCGATGACTGGAATATAGGCAGACGGTTCTTGTTTTCGTGCATTCTCTGGTAGTAAATTTTGCATAAACGACGCGAAATGGAAGCTACTAATACGGGGTCGGTTGTACCCCCAAGCGGCTCAATGCCTCAGGCGACCATCGCTTGACGGGTGTAGTCACGAGGCAGTCCAAAAGATTGGCCATCACAAAAGCAAACGCAGCGTAGCGACCTACCTCCCTACATTGCCAAAGATCAGCCCGCTTCAAACGAGAATGCTTCGTAGCCGGTTTGGCCTGCTAGTCGGTGGAGGACAAGGACATTGGACGCCGGCTTCCATGAACATCATTCCCCCCGCGTAAAGAGATGACAACGACTGCTGGTGTCTCTTTCAGCCCTGCCCCCCACCCATCGCATACGGGACCTTCCCACAACGTTCACCTAAGAACCGAAAGTGGCAGGGAGCATGGACTGACGGCGGCAAAAAGAATTAACGTGACCTCCACGACCAAAGCCCGCTGAGAGACGAGAAGACTCGTCTAGATTGAGAGCATCATCATCTTCAGCGACCCTAAACGCCTTGCACCCTTGGACCCTGCGTCCATCCCGGAGGGACGGATGCACCACTCCCAGCCAGCGTCCACGTTGGGCACACCATCCTTTTATTGAGCGACAGTGATGCACTGAGATGACAAGAGCTTATGTTCGACTGGACCGTCTCCGGGTTCGTTGGGGTCAAACAATGAGTTTCTGGTTTTGACACGCCTTATATGCCTTCTAACATCCTGGCCGCGCAAACGGATCGACTTACCAACGGTTTTGTTTTGGCGCTACCCTTTTCACAATTGCGCGTTCAATAACCTTGCCGTCTTGGACCTTCTCACGACAAGAGACTCTTGAGCGTCAGGGGTGTCACGAATCTCCCTTTGGCCAACAGGCCCTGCCACGAGGGCAGATAACCACGCCATCGGCCGAAATTCCTTTGTCGCAGTTTCGATTCCGGCTGGACGGGCGTAGCACACCACTCTTGAAGCGGCGAAGCTTGCCTTCAATGCTGCCTTGCAGTTCTTCTTTTCAGCAAGGAGCTTGCATCAAAATGGTGTTCAACAGGATGATCCCTGATACCCTCATCAATGAGATCTTCAACATCGGAGTTTGGCGAACCGGAATTTGGGATGTCTGGGTAAAGCACTTCACGAATCACGCTGTCTCTTCCTCACGCAAGCCAATACCCGGAACAGCAATTCAATCATGCATTGGTTGGATCTCCGCAGCAAAGTCGGATTCCATTACGCCCTTTGACAGCAACACCACAAACTCCTGTCTCCAAAAAATGTTTTTAAACAACGCCAGGCTGAAGTGCATCAATTAGCTTAAGCACACACCAGAATGGGAAGTTTGCTCCAAACAGAAGTGAGCTTTTCTCCTCGCTCTTGGGACCCGTCCAATAATCAACCCTGCGCATGTGCGCCGCGCGGCATGTGACCAGTTTTGATGATGAAGACCAGCCTGCTCAAGATTGTCACGCGTACCGTCAATCACCGATCGGATAGACCTTTCAGCTACAGCGTTGGCCTTTGATACAAAAGCTAGTCTGGCGTCTCCACGACAAGCGCTCGGCCGCGGCGACCAGCCCCGGCAAATTGTTGTCTGAGTAGAACACTCCTACTTCGTCGGTGCGCTTAAACTGTCCGATACATTCACAGTCGAGTGCCGGGCAGCAGGGTAGACTTAGACATCGGAAGGCTGTTTCAACATCCTTTACAACCAATCACGCTACCCTCAATATCCATCTCTTCATCGTCACGGGGTGGTCTGCAGTCAAGCGCTGCCCAAAAACAATTGCTTCAACTTGTGAAGAGAATCCACCACCCCTTCTATATGAAGGTTTTCTTGGCCAACTTTGCACGAGAACATGCTTGACAGCAAAGGTTCTTTGCGCTTGCGTGACCAGATGTTGGGTCAAAGGGGGCGTTTGCCCCGACGGCAAGCAAACGTTTCCGACCAGCGAACAAGGTTTTCTGAGGGGGTTGGGGACAGTTTCGTGTTACTCGTTGCGCAAAACCAAACAGGCTTTTCTGGACCTGTGGTTCAGCCAAATCCAGGGTTGGGCTCAATGCTAGGGGCTGTGAGAAGTGAGAATACACAGAGAGGCTACACAAGACACTTGTCCGCCAGCTCAAATGTACAGTGAGCTGTCATGGCTCAATTGGCAAAAAAGACGACTGAAGTCGCTCCGCAAAAGGTTCCTTGAGTTGCAGATCATCGACCAGGTGGGAGGACGGGAAAAACTCCAGGATTTGACTGAGTGGTCTTTGAACGGTCTTCAAAAGGCGCTCAACTTATCGTCTTGGAGTTCACTAACTCCAAAACGATAAGTTGAATGTCCCAAGTCCCGAGTCCCAAAACCCCCAAAACCCTAAAAAAATGCATGGTTTTCTGGCCCTCCGCATGTTGCAGTCGGGGCAAGCTCCCCCCGTTTACCCAAGATGTTGAATCGACTGCGTGCTTGACAGCCAGATGCAAGTAGGCTTCCACGTTGTTCTCGGGCTCCTCCTTGATGCCAGCGAGATCCGAGTCCCACCTGTCTGCGAAACCTTTCAAGTCATATGCACAATCTTCACTGGCATCAAGTCTTCCAACCCATAGGTTGCTCCACGCTTGGCGCTGGTAGCGAAATACGCATGGAGGCAAAGCAAAAGTTGTCTTCCTCACAGGTCTGTTTTCGCAAGCTAGTAGTTGTTTGAAAGTTGCTATCTGACAACCAAGACCCCCTCAGCGCAATTGGTCAAACTGGCCAAAAACTTCGCATCAAGAGTTGAGAAGCCTTCAGATTCAAAGTCTTCAAGCGCGTCAACAGTTTGGTTGTCGATATAAACCTTGCCAACCCAAGTCCAAGTCCTGCAGGTTTTGCAGATGTGGCTGAGATGTTCTATCGAGCCTTAATCTTCCAATATCTCTATGCTTCTATACTGAAACTTGGGAGTTCTTCAGTGCCTTCCTGGTATCCCTGGGAAGACATCCTGATGAGCTGCTTGAGTCTTCTGAAACTCTATCGGACGAGAACAACTGGGAAGAGGTGGTGGAGGCGAGGCTTCCTTCTTTCGCTCCATAGCTAGCCCGTCTTCCTCCTTAGACTTTCGGCCTTCGCGATATTATCTTCACTCCTTCACTGCCGTCACCATCAGGGTCATGACCTCCACCACCACACCTTGCGATCGGCGGCCGCTGGAGAAGCTGCAGTTCCAAGAGGCTGGGCTCTCGGTTCCCCGAGGCGACTTCGAACTTATCCCTTAGCCCCTGGATGGTTCAAGTTCCGACCAAAGATGCGCCCGTTCACTTTCCATTGCAGAATGTCTTTCAAGCGTCATTGCACGCACTAAGTAGTTCTGCTGGTCTCCGGTCTTGATGATGTTTTGCCTTGGTAAGGGCATTCACGTCACTCAATGTTTGTTCGGCAAGAGCTGCTTGGTCCCAAAAGCATTGGTACAAGTCCGCGAACTGACGAGCCTCTCTCTCTCTCTCTCTTTCTCGGTTCCTTTGGGTCTGCGACGGCGATGCCGACGATGCCCCCCAGAGTGTCCAGCATCACGGCCAACAAGGCTTGGCCAAAAGTGGGAGCTACAACCATGGCACTCGCGGGTCACTACTGCTAGCTGCTAGCGCCAACGTGAAATTTTTGCTGCCCTTCTGGCGTGTGATGGATGCGGTTTGCCACAGATCCACTGCTCAGCCTTCAAGGCCAACAAAGCATCTTCAGCCAGCAGTGCCTCCACTTGACATAGCTGTGCCACATTTGCCACTCATGCCCTTCTGCCGGGGGCGATGCACCAGTCACGTCATCCAAAATGCTTTGGAGCGTGACTTCAGGTTCACCTGGACAGCGAGCAGTCCTTCCGGTTGGTGGCTGGCCCGCCTCACAGCACACACTTGCAACCTGCCCCGTTCCTGGCCCCGGTTGTGCCACAGATCAGCAATTGCCTCGGCCTTGCCCTTCTTCTGCAATGTCTGCCACACACCTTGATGGGGAAGGTTGGGCTTGATGGCCTTCAACGCAATCCAACACCCCGTGGCCCACGCACGAACTTCAGTGGCTTGACCCGCGCGCGCACAAGTGCAGGAGCCGTTTGCTCCTTAGTCCACTGGCGCACCAGAACCGCCACTGCATAGTTGCGGGCTGTTGCATCATTGCATGTGGGCTTCAGCCTTGTTGGGGCTGATGCAGCATTCCGCATCAAAGGCCAACCATCACTCAGGAGACCATCGCACCTGAAAGAGTCACCGCTGTCTGGTGTCGGCACTCGTGGCAGCCCCTATAGACGTGCCGGCCCCAATCTGCATAGCCCACTCCCTTGGGACACCCCCATCTTTGCCCTCAAAGAACTTGTATCTCCGGATGAGGTGAACTGCAGTCAGCGGCTCCAAGCACAAGAAGCATTGCACTTGATGACCGTGTGCATGGGCGTGGAGGGATCCTTGCGTCCAGGCCTTCATGGCTGCTTGTTCACTACCGGCCATGGTCTTCAGACATCTTTTGTAGTCGACGAACCCAGAGATCTCTGCAAAAAAGAGCTGCTGGCTGATTCGATCAACCCGTTGAAGACCCATCTCTTTCTTCCATGCTCTTGCTAGAACTGGCCAGGCGTGCTCGGGTGCTGGGACGGGTCCATTCAAACAGGTCCAATTCCACCGCAGGTCGTTGAAGACAGGAAGCATGCTTGCAAAGCAGCCATCGGCCCACCACCTGCCAATGGTGCACCGAAGCTCATGAGACTGATTTGCTGGCCATGCCGCCATCAGCTTCTCCACTGCAGTGTGCCAAGGGTCCTGCAGATCTGGACACTGATCAAACAGGCACCACCTTTTTGAAGGCCTCCACAACGGGCCAGCTGTAAGCGAAGCTCCTTGAATCGCTGAGGTGCCAACCGCGTGCCACATTGCCCCAGGCCACTGCCCTGTGCACTATCTATCTATCTATCTATCTACAGTATATCTCTCTCTCTCTCTCTCGCGCGCGCAGGCGCATCCTGTTCAGAAAAAAACACGCGTCTGCCTACTTCGCTGCACATGCCAGTGCAAAAATGTAGCCAGCATGATACAGTACATGTCACAAGCCTTCTCTTCACCTTCACGCTTCTTTCTGTCCTCGCAACACATCAAACAAAGCCCAATATTACCCAGACCCACTTGGTCTTGGGACATGCAAAGGTGACCCTTTTCATAACAAATCAAGCGCCCATCAAAGTCATTCAGAAGACCTCGGCTTCTTTTGCTTGTCTTTTCTTCGATTCCTCCGCCTGCACACTTGGACTGGCTCAAAAGAATTGTTCGGCTTCTGCGCGGCAGCCGCACAGGTGATGACAACCTCACGTCGACATGCCTCTTCAATTTTCTTCTTCTTCTCCTTCTCTTGCCGCTTCTTCTCCCTCTTTGCCTCTCGTTCTCGCTCACGCTCCTGGCATCTCTCTACAGAATCCTATTTCCTTAATGACTGAGTGCGGCAGTTGCCAGCTTGGGCATGCGTCCTCATCAAAGGCACCCAAGTATAGTGCGACAACCAACTTGCAGCATGTTCAACCAACGTGCCCAGTCTTAGCCCAGTCGTCCACCAAGGGGTCAGAGTGGACATTCAATGGAACCATCCATTTGCCAAAACGATTCACATTCCTCCACGACTGAGTGTGCTTCAACCTGGCGTTGGGGGCGTTGCCACCTCCCAAGGAGAAGTTCAGGGTTGTTTGAGAAACGGAGGGTAAGGTCCAAAAACGAGTCAAAAGGTTGCACAGCTCCTCTTCCTCTTTGGCTTCTCTTTCTCTTCTTTCTCTCAGCCTTTTGGCTAAGTTGCACTACCAACCTACTGTATCTAATCGACTGCGGTCTTGAAGATGAAAGGTCAACTCCCAGTGCATAAGCAACAAAGGCACTTGTTATATATATATATATATGTAGGCAGCTAAATAGGCCCATAGGCAGGGCTTCAGAAGAAATGAGGAGCAACAAACTATGCAAAACAAAATGTATCAACATGTAGTGAACAGTGAACGAATTTTGATAAGAGGCCCGCACAAGACATAGTTTTGTTGCAGGCCTATTTTCATGGACATTTTCGTTCTGACACCGACACCCTGCTGGAATAGTGGTAGACGTGCTTTTGGCCGATTGCGACAACGCGTGTTGGACGCATGCAACGGGTGGCAGAAAGCTGCAGCCGCTGTTTTGCAAAAACATTTTGCTGACGGTTGGCCTCTTCAGCTTCTGCAAACATAATTACCGTAGATTTATATAAAAACGGAATCCGTATTTATTGACATAATTTCCACCAAACATGGTCAGTTTGCATGATATACGTCGACACACAGCCGAAATCAGCCGAATACAACTGACCTTTGAACCTGAGTTTCTAGCTGCTGTCGCCACTCTTCCTCCTCCCGTAGTTTCTGCTGTTCTGCCTGCAAAATCATTTGTTCTCATGAAGCGAGGCATGGTTGAAACTAGAGTTCCAGTAGTCAAGGTGATAGTGATAGCTTAACAACTCAAAGGTTTACCAAGCAAGCGAATCAAGTTGGTGCGGTTGACGCCTCACGCTTTCGCTTTTCAAAGGCTTCTTGAACCTGATAAGAATCAAAACAGGAACCCAATGAAGCGACAATTCCAAAACAGATGTGAAGGAAATAAAACAAACGGATCTTCTTCTTGAAAAAATGATGGCTGAGCGTACCTTTCGACGTTCCGCTTCTAGCAGCGCCTTGCGTTTTCTTTCTTGGTGTTTGGCGACCTGAGATTGCCATTTCACCGACAACTGCCAAAGCCAAAGAAAGCGTATCAAAGTTCAGAGGGGCCTCTTTTGCTTCGATTTGTTTCATTTCCTCTTCCAAGGCCTTTTCTCTCCTTGATTGCTCCTCGCTGCAGGTCGACGCCCAAGGCTCAAAACAACTCTAAAACACAAATGCTTGACTAAAGTGCATAGCAACAATGATATTGCCATCTGTTGCAGTAACAATGCTGGCCTTCTTGTCCAAAATTTTTGATTTTTCCAATCTCCACCAGTCTGGGGTTGCAGTACCTCGCACCCAAAAAAAAAACACAAACCCAACCCCAACAAACGCGTGGGGATTGGCCCGAAGTGCAAGCCCTTGAAAACAATTGCCCCGTTGAATACTACTTGTCGGCGCACCGTCTTCTGCTGGCCTTTCCTGTCCGCATCAAAAGTAGGCGCAAACCTAGTGCAATTCCACATGGCCACATGGATGCCTTGGATTTTTCGCCATCCTTCGCCTCGCCGTTGCCCTGGGAAGTTGAAGCAACGCATGTGAGGTGACTTTGTTATACGTTGCTGTGTGTTGGGCGCGGCTGAGATGTGAGTGGTGAGTTTGTTCAAAAGGCGGTGGAAAGGCACGCGGTTTGACACCACAATCTCCAGCTTCATGCGGAGGCAGAACAAAAGTTGTTGAGCCCATGACCTGTATACAACCCTTAGAATCCCACAGGGAATCACAGTGGAATATATATATATATATAAAGCGTAAGCAGCACCTGTTTTCTTATTCGCTCTGCAGCAGGTTTGTCGGAAAATATAAAGACTTGAGGCCAAGGGGGGGGCGAAAGCTAGCGCTCCAGAATGGGAAAGTGGAGGGCAGCGAGGTAGGAAAAAACACGGCGCTCTTTTTGGAGGCAGGGGTGAAGAGTCCTTTATATGTGGCTCTTTGCCCGGATCCTCCTGCGAGAGAAGAGAGAGAAGAGAGACGGAAAGACGAGAGACAGAGAGGAGAGAGAGAGAGAGAGGAGAGAGAGATGAGAGAGATGAGAAAGAGATGAGAGAGACAGTGAGACAGTGAGACAGTGAGAGAGTGAGAGTGAGAGTGAGCGAGTGCGGCCGCAAGATACGCAACGCTAACCGCATGCCAAAGAGCGACGACAGGACGGAGTCGAACTTGCGAAGAGGGAGGAGGGAGGGAGGGAGGGAGGGAGGG